AAAAGACTGTTCGGGTATGCTTGAAAGAACCTCGTAATTTGCAGGAACCTGGATTGAGATGTTGTAAGTTGCTTTTACCCTCGGATCGTCCCAGCATGGAAATAATATTCGTATCGCGTTTGGTGTGTAGAGATTCGTAAGCATCCAACTGTCATATTGCAACAAAAATTGTTTGATAAGGATAAATATTTTGCTGTTTTAAGACTGATCTAGTTAGCTCAAGACTAATGTTGATATAGTCTTTCGTATTAAATAAGTGTTTTTATTGTCTTTATGCACTTAATACTTTGTATAACGTTTTTAGCTTAGTATTATGCCGAAAAGATTTTTAGCATTATCAATAATAATTTTGAACTTTAGATATACAATATTTGTTTATTAATATCGTAGTTGTTTTTCATTATATACAGATATCTGATAGTTCGCTATGCAGCCGTATACAGCTAAATCGGTCACGTCAAAATAAAAGTTTATGCACGAAAATTTAATATGTTATTGTCAGACACCTCGTACATATAAACCTGTAATTCAAAATACATTATCCTCTACTTACTTTTGATTATTCCAAGTAGGATAAAATATTTCCTCGACATGTTTATTTAAAACGGATCTGTAAGCTATTTCAAACCTATATTTTCCTTTATCTAGCATTTTGTCAAACTGCAAAATTAAGATTTCTTTTTTCTCACATAATTGGAAGTCGGACACCTTATAAGATGCACTACCTTGTTCATCCTTTAACAATGAATTAACCATAATAATTTTGGTACACAAGACATGAAAAGAAATTGCGGTAAATATTAACAAAAAAGGATCCTGCCCTAATGACATTAACGTTGACATATAAAATATTTGGCATATCGCTTTGAAGGATGAAATTTATATCAAACGTAAGTCAAAGTCATTGGGGCGAAGTATATTTTGGTTTACCTCTATTCCGTAACCGTATGTCGATTTTGCATTTAGGATTATATCCTTTATTGGTTTCTTGACTTCAATCAATATATTCGTGTACCCTAACAACATTCTTTGTTGTGGTCTTATTCTAATATGAGCATCATATCTTATTGGCATTACTTCAGAGATGTTTAAATTTTCAGAAACGAGCAAACATTTCGTTATATTCCTGGCGTATATTTTACTAGCTATCGGGACAATAAATTTCAGAACGACTCCAAAAAATAATATCAATTTCATTTTTGCCCCTATATATCTGCAAAAAAATATTTATCCTTTATATAAATAAAATGATACATACACAAAAAATACACGTGTCACCATCGTTCCGTAATTCTGTATTTTGCACGACAAAGAAGCAAGAAAAAAGAAAAGCATTGGGAGCATTGCGATAGTGAACGTCTAAAGGGAAAAATAATATATATATATATATATATATATATATATATATTTTTTTTTTTTATGACTTAATATGTATATACATATTTCTAATAAATGTATTCCCTAATATGCTCACTCTTAATTTTTGAATAATTAAAAAATGTGCGTGATGTCTGTCCCTTGAAAGTGTACTATTAATATTAAAACTTACTGTGTAATTTATTTTCACAAAATAACGCATATAGCTTTTTCTGCAAGGTGCCTAATCGCGTACGCTAAAAATTTGCACTAGTAAATTTTTTTTGCAATAATTATTGCCTTAAAAAGAATAATTTGTGAATATTGTATCCTTTTCCCTCTCGACAGATCGTTTGAAACAAACGACGATAACAGTATCTGATATATTTATATGTAAAAACTAAAGTAGACACTAAACTATTGTCGTTATACGTAAGAAATGTCGTCCATCAGTAAACATGTACGCGCAACCTACGAAAGTAATACATACAAAACATCTTCTCTGATAAACGATTCGTCTCAGGAAATTTGTGTTTTCGAAGAAAAACATTCTTCCTTGGAAATGAATTATATAGATAACGTATATAAAGAAAAAATATTTAAATAAAATGCGATGACTAATGCAATTAAGAATTTTGATAGCACAGCAGTTTTAACAATTTTTTAAAAATTTGTCGTAATTTTCATTAAGCTTTAATTTCTTTTATTTGCTATAAGCTTGTTTCATTCTGTTCATTTCAAATATTAATCTTTATCAGATATGTTATGTGAGGTATCTATCCCTCAAATATACGATCATAATAGCCAGATTATCAGTCAAGTTTTGTATATATTTGAAAATATTTATATATATTTTTAGATTGTAAAATACTTATGCAGAATATATAATATGGTATAATATAAAAGAATATATAATATAAAAGATATAATTTATGGAATAATAATAACAGTAACGAAAAAATGATTATAACAAGTAGCTCTAAAGTAACAAAACAGTACATCGATAGTAATCTCTTGCTTTCTAACCTTCTTACTTTTTCCGTAATATATATCCTTACTTTTTTTTATAAGTATTTTCCAATACGTCAAATAAAGAACAACTTGTATTTATAGCGTATTTGGCATAACGTGTGCATCCACTTATATGCTGATAAAATTTGTCAAACCGAGTGAAAAAATCCTATATAATTTTCCAAACGGCTATCGTCAGTTTTAGATGTTAATTATAGAAATTTAGCAAAATTGACCGAATTTAATTCAAGATTTGAATGTTGGTAATCTCTTGGCACGTCGGGTAGTGCGTAATGCTAAAATAAATAAAAATTGCAATCTTTTAATGGTGGAATGCATTAGGCGTACATATTTACTAGTTTTATTTTAATTAATTTTTTAAAAATCATTATAGTGTTTGGAAAAATAATATGAGAATTCTTCGAACAGATTTTATGACGAATTGCACATGAATAAACATACGTGTTGCGTGAAACATGCTCTGCATATACAAATGTATATCATATATATTTTGCATATAAATATTTGTTATTATAAAGAGAAGGATCGCAATTGTTTTAGAAATTGTGTCATTTAGAAAATATATCTTTCATGACAATTGCTATTTAGCAAACGATTATTCTAAGAATAAATGTTTGCAATGACATCTGCTTCACGAATATGTTAGTTTTTGTTATCAAATCTAAATAATGTATAATAATATCTTTCTTTTCAAAACAAGCCATGTAATTTAAAAGTTATTTATTTTGGCAACCAATTCTCTCACGAAAAACAGGCTGCCAAATTCTTAAGTTCACCTACGATAAAGGCGGTCACCAAAAATGAGATGATAAAATATTCTAAGACACTGCAAGTAATGCCAACTAGAGACAAGGATAATGCCAAGAAGATCCAGGACAACTAAAAGCTGCTGCAGAAATTAAATTTATTAAATAATAATAACAAATAAACAATTTCAGTTCAATGTACATACATAGTTCTACAGTTACAAAGCATATGTACATATGCACAATGCACATATATAGATTTTTAGAACGCTGTATTTCCGAAACAAAAAATTGGATCAACTTGAGATAGGTGCCAAAATTTTCAAATTTTCTCTCCTCGAGATCTTCAAAACGGTGCCCATTTCATCTATTGATTTCACTGCCTCGGAATGGGGCACATTGCCTATAGGCAATTTGGTCTCTCTCTTTTGTTTGTAACATTTTTCGATGAAATACTTAGCTTTCGAGAAATCTCATAGCATTACTTAAAATAGGATACCTTGTAAAGACTCGTTATGAAAGGAATAATAGTACAGTAAATATGTTAGTATATCGTCACCTTTGTTCTACGTTAGCTATGTGGAAATTATCTATAAAACTATAGAATTCATCATACCCTGACGGTACTATTCACATAACTTCATTCAAGTCAAAAAACATCTGACATATTGTAAGAATTGTAAATAAATTTCATAATATAACTGATAGATATTAGCCATCATTATCGTCAAGCCACGCATACAATGAAAGAAATGACACAGTTTGCAATCCATACTTACATTCGATGAGCAACTCAGGATGGTATTTTGCCGTCCATCAATATATTTCTTATGGAATAATAATACTAACAAAAAATTATTATAACATGTAACTCTAAAGTAATTAAGAAGTATATTGGTACTAATCTCTTGCTTTCTCACTTCTTCCGTACTATATCCTTACTTATTTTTTTATAAATCTTTTCCAAGACGTCAAATAAAGAACAACTTGTATTTATAGCGTTTTTGACACAACATATAGCACCACATCCACTCATATATAAATAGAACTTATCAAATCGAATGAAAAAATCTTATATAATTTTCCAATTAGCCACCATAATTTTTTAGATGTTAATTATAGATATTTGGCATATTCGTATGTATAACGAGACAAGCTCCTTGACTTGAGTCCAATTCAAGATTTAAATATTAATAATCTATTGCCACATCGGGTAGTGCATAATGCTAGATTAAATAAAGATTGAAATTTCTTAATGCATTATTTCTTATGCACATATATTTGCTGGTTTTATTTTAATTAATTTCTTAAAAATCACTATAGTTTTTGGAAAAATGATATGAGCCTTTTCGTTCAGAGTTTATGACGAATTCTACTTGCACACGAATAAACATACGCGTTGCGTGAAACACACTGCACATATATTAATATATGCCATGTACTTTATATATATATCTAATATATATATATATATATATATATATATATATATATATATATATATTTGTTATCATAAAAGGAAGGATTGCACAATTGTTTAAAAAATTGTTCGTTTAGAAGATGTAACTTTCATGATAACTGCTTTCATAATTTGCAGAGATTATTCTAAGGGTAAATGTTTGCTATGACATCTGCTTCAGAGATAGGATAACTTTCGTTATCAAATCTAAATAATGTATAATATCTTCCTTCCCAGAACAAGTCAAGTAATTTAAAAGTTATTTATTTTGGCAATCAATTTCTTCACGACGAATAGACTGCCAAATTCTTAAATTCACCTACAATAGAGGCGATTGCCAAAAAGGTGAGGATAAAATATTCTAAGACGCTGCAGGTAATGCCATAAAAAATCGGACAACTAAGAGCTGCTGCAGAAAAATTTATTAAATAATAATAACAAAAAAAATTTCAACACAATATACATACTTCTGCAGTTATAAAGCACGTATGTATCAGTTCTTTTTTTACTATAATCCTCATTTATTCATTAATATATCTACTCATTTCAAATAAATTTTTCTCAACATGCCTAATGAACCGTCTTTCATCCATTATGTAAATAGTAAAAGAATAAATCTTATTTTACATCATATATAGGTTTTATCTAAATGTAGTAGGAAGCCAAGTAACACATACCACATTTTAGTATCCTTGATATTAAAAATTGTTTGTCATTGGATTATCTTAATAATAACTGCAATTGTATGGTGATTATTTTCATCATTCTATAGAATATTGATTTGATCCGGAAAACTATAATGTCGATGTCTTTTAAACATTTTCAGTTCGATTATTCGATTTTTAGATTAAATTCTTTAAACTTATTCTGCACCTTTATTAGATATTTCGTCCGGTATCTAATCAAGAGGTTGATTGATTCCAGAAGACGTGAAAAACCTTCTGTAGTCGGAAAAAATAATTTGTTTGCAAATACTCTTATCTGTAACAGTTAATTAGGTACTTAAGATGTTACAACTCTGTCGACATGACAATTGCAGATCAACACAAAAAATATATTTTTAATATATAAAATAACGTAAATTACACAATGTATACAGAATAGTACAAAGTAGTTAAACAGAATTATATTTGTAAATAACAAACAACTTAAGAGATTTTAATTTATAAAATTTACCATGTCGAGGTCCTTTAACGAGTAAACATTCATAATCATATCGCTTAATAAAGAGGCAGAAGGAAATTCATCAGGAAACCTGAAAAAATCAGATTTAACTTTAGTAGATATCGTTACATTTCCTAAAGAAAAACGACCTACTTTCATCACAAAAAATAATACCTGCTTATTATCATATTATAATTTTCGATCACAAAACGTAACACAACATTATTCCCAATATGATTTTTCACAATCTTACGACATATTGGTCCCATAGATTGTTCTGTTCTCCAAAAATAAATTGTTCGTAGCATTAAACTTAAGTAATGCACGATAATGGTACTATTTTCAGTACATGACAAATATCCCAGAAGCACCTCGCTATTATAATCTACAGTTTTATTTAAAATATTTTTCCATACATTTAAGTCTTCTGTCTTCAACCCATCACAAATTATCCATTCTTTCAATTCTGCCGGAATTCTGTGAATTATGTAAAAAGAAATAAATATTTATATGAATAAAAGGAAAATTTACCATTTGATTACATCTTTGTTACATTTAGCAAAAAATTTATGTCGAATGCTACAGTTTGGCCACGTACTTCGTCAAATGTTTGGAGGAAATATTTGTGTATTATGATAAGAATTACCTCCCCAGTTCATCACCATATTTTATATACATCATCAGATGATTTAATGCGGTACTTCGACACTCCGAGTGACCAAGTTTGCAGGCCCATCTTCGTACTAAATGTCTCAAAGATTTTTCCATTTTATCATCCCGTATGAAGTCGTAGTACCCCATTCTAGTAAGTACTCCACCTAGAAGTCTCAGAAAATGGTCCTAAAAATTGTATGTTACATAACGTTGATATTGTCAAGTTACCTTATTCCTTAGGTAGTAAACATCATTTTTGTCTGAGTTGGAACAATATGTGCGAAACTCTTTTAGATTTACAAGCCGGTTAATTTGTTATATTATAACTTTTTATTCCTTTTAGATAACCGTACATATGTTAGCAGCTGATATGTATTACCTATAAAATTTCTTTTGCTCACCTTAATACGATTACTCTCAGGGAATTTAAAGTAAGATGACATATCTGTCAAAATGTTAAACATAGGATACCATGCTATAAAATCTCCGTCCCATTGTAGATGTCTAATGATTTCGACGAAAGTGGAACCTTTGAGTTCCCTTATTGTTGTGAAATAATACGCATCATTTACCAGTTGAGCGCGAGTAAGCGGAGGTATGTTTGCGATATCATTTTCTTCCATGTAAGTCGATATCATTCTCCAGTTCTTGTCGTCGTAGTTAATACGATAATAACCTGTATATAGTAAGAGCAATTTTATAACATTATTTTATTTTTATTTTTTATTAGATTATTTTATTATTCTCTTATTAATTATTTTATTATTTTTATTAGATTGTTTTATTATTATTTTCTACTTTTATTATTTTATTATTTATTACATCTCTATATTTTATTAGGTTATTTTATTATTTTTATTAACATATTAAATACTTGTAATTACATATATTGTGTAATATTTTTTAAAAATTATTCCACTTTTATATAAAGAATGACCGAAGATCATCATCGAGTTGTACATTAATTTGTATTGTTTAAAATTAATTTGTAGTATTTAAAAATATTAAATTGACTTTCACGTGATTCTGACAAACTCATTGAAGGTTGAACAGATAACCTCATAAAACATCTCTTTTGAAATCGTACAAATTTTGTTTGTAACGTTTTTTGACAGAACACTTAGTTTTCGAGAAATCTTATTACATTATTTAAAATAGGGCACCTTATATAAGCTCGTCATGAAAGTAATAACATGGTATAATAAATATGTTGCTATGTGTCCTTACCTGTTTGTTCTGCGTTAAATATATAGAAAGAATCCATAGTATTGTAGAATTCATCAAACTTTGTTATTATGGTATTATTCATGTTACTCCAGTGAAGCCAAAAAATATGCGAGATATTGTAAAAATCGAAAGTAGATGCCGTGATATAATTGACAGGTATTATCCATTCATTTTCGTCAAGCAACGTAGCCAATGAAAGAAAAGACACAGTTTCCTGTTTATAATTACGTTCAGCGAGCAGCTCGGGGTGGTGTTTTCCCGTTAACCATGTATTCATGATTTGGTTTACCGTACGGCTGCCTCTATCTCGTAGAGGATAAACTTCTTCCAATACAGTCCAGATATCGTTTGTACTAACAATGAAACAAACATAGTGTCTTTAAATATTTGACTTTTAGAGCTTGCTTTTACACACGCATACACACACATAAAGGGTGTGTGTGTGTGTGTGTGTGTGTGTGTGTGTGTGTGTGTGTGTGTGTGTGTGTGTGTGTGTGTGTGTGTGTGTGTGTGTGTGTGTGTGTGTGTGTGTGTGTGTGTGTGTGTGTGTGTGTGTGTGTGTGTGTGTGTGTGTGTGTGTGTGTGTGTGTGTGTGTGTGTGTGTGTGTGTGTGTGTGTGTGTGTGTGTGTGTGTGTGTGTGTGTGTGTGTGTGTGTGTGTGTGTGTGTGTGTGTGTGTGTGTGTGTGTGTGTGTGTGTGTGTGTGTGTGTGTGTGTGTGTGTGTGTGTGTGTGTGTGTGTGTGTGTGTGTGTGTGTGTGTGTGTGTGTGTGTGTGTGTGTGTGTGTGTGTGTGTGTGTGTGTGTGTGTGTGTGTGTGTGTGTGTGTGTGTGTGTGTGTGTGTGTGTGTGTGTGTGTGTGTGTGTGTGTGTGTGTGTGTGTGTGTGTGTGTGTGTGTGTGTGTGTGTGTGTGTGTGTGTGTGTGTGTGTGTGTGTGTGTGTGTGTGTGTGTGTGTGTGTGTGTGTGTGTGTGTGTGTGTGTGTGTGTGTGTGTGTGTGTGTGTGTGTGTGTGTGTGTGTGTGTGTGTGTGTGTGTGTGTGTGTGTGTGTGTGTGTGTAAAGGAAAACGCATCGAAATCATATCATTTAACTTAACTTTCTATTATATCATTTAACTTAACTTTCTAACTCACATTATTTAGTATACGTTCATGAAACAATGGGTAGTATGGCATTAAAAATGTAATCAATTTAGCATATGCTCCTATGAAATACCCACATTTTTGGACGTATCTCGTATAAACAATAGTACAAAGTATAAATATAATATTTTGGCAAATAAACGAATAATATTCTGCCAAATAAACTAACAACGATTGAGTGTGTAAAGTTAGACGATGTATAATTTTATACGTGTGTTTGGCACGCTATAAGCAACTTAGTTCGTCGCAAGGATCTTTCAATGCACAACAGTGAGTAGTTCAGCAAATTTAGTTTCTTACAGCGTGTCCGTCTATATGCATGTCAGACAGCACAAAATTGGATATTGGATATTAACGCTAGCTTCATAAAATTTCAATGAAAATCAAATATAAGATAATCAGATTACGTTTTTATTCGTTACTAACCGTTCGTGTACATATTTCCTGATGGCCTCGTTGAAGACATTGGGATTGTAAAGTTGCAACAGCATGCGAATTAGAGCAAATGCTATGTCAACATAAATAATAGTATAGTATTAAATAAGTTACGAAATTAAAAGTATATTAAATAAGTTACGTAAATGAAAAGTATAATATTAAATAAGTTACGAATAATCCGATCAATATATTTATTCAAACTCACCTTTTTTATGATAGAGAAGAGGATAAAGTAATCCATCAATTCCATTACTATTCTTAGCCTTACTTATAATAGGTTCCCTTTCTATGAGCATGTCACTATTTAGAGTGGGCTGGATAATTTTAACTACAAACAGTTCCATTAATCGATCTGATGTCCATATCTAGAAACAATGGATTGTAGTTATCTGTTGTCGTTACTTATTGCGGTATCAAAGAAAATATTTTAATTAATAAAACCAATAAGTGTAATTTCGTCATTAATATGAAACGTTTCTAAATATTTAGATGTACTCTAGAGTTAACTATTAACAACAAAAACTTATTTACAATTTACTAATGCTAATGACATAAAGTAACCTTGTCCATGACATAATAGCCGCAGAATGATGCGAATATTTCGTTCAACCATACATAATCATTTCCTAATTGCGGGCTGACAACACCGACGAACAATTGACGTGCCATTTCGTATGTTACCAACATTGTAGCAGCAACAAGCCGACCCGGAAAATCTGACAGTGCATCGTACGTAACATCTCTTTCCCTGTATTGAGAAAAAATACATTTATTGAACGTTATTATGACATTAACATATATAATTTAAAATATCTCCAAACACACATATGCTTTATATATATTCTTTCTCTTCCTACATTCTCTACTCCTTTCTTCAATTATTACTTCCCCCTTTTTTGTTAATTATAACTGTTTAATATTATTGTGAAAAAAAAATTAAGAATATAACATAATTCTATCCATCTTTTCTGTGTAATAACATTTTAAAAACATCATATGTCCATATATTATGTCCAATATGATATTCTACTCGTGAAAAAATGTTAGAATTGCTAGAGTTTCAGTATACTGTAACGCGTGCGATGCGAACACGTTATTCGACGTGTGTATTCTCAATGTTTTAACAAATTTTTAGTGCAATATATATGCAAAATTTTGTAAACCTGTAATGCACTGAACTTTCCGAAAATAATGACCGACTATTAATTATCACTGATAGAAATATACTGAGATATCTAGTTAAATTGAAATTTTTGGGAAATAATTGATAAAGTATAATTGAAACAGTTAAAATAAGCTGTTATGTATTACCCTGCCAATAATATATTATATTATGATAAACTTTCTTTCTATAATTTGGTTATATTGCATGCACTCAAAAACATTTGCACACAATAGTCTGTGGCAGTGTTTATCAATTTGCTTAAGGAATCTTAATATTAATGTTGCCTATTAACAGTACTGCATGTCTATGTACGATGTATATAATTCATCTTGGGCACAAATAAATACGTGTTATCGAATTTCATATTGATAAGATTCTTGTAATGTTAACGGTTCATGTAACAACATTTTTAATATTGTTATTGTATACCTGTAAACAATAAGTCCGGGTGCACCCATTGACTTCATAGGACTATTTGGAAGTACGACGTGGTTAATTTTTGGAAAGAAGTACGACGAGTTTATTCTCATATACTTAGTAAAAAAAGATGTCACCATTTCTGCCTTTTCTAGTATGTAAGTGAATTTCTTATTTGCGCCTGTTTTGCGCCACATATAATGCATGTCGCTGGTTTTAAAATCTTTCGAAATATCATTGGTTACCAAAAGTGCTATCAAATGAGTAGGCATCGAGACAAATTTTTTGTACATCGCCAATCTTCTACCAAAGTCTTCTTTAAGCAATGAATCATGTGTATAGAAAATAGAATTTTCGGGTATATTTGAAAGAACCACGTAATCTCCAGAAGTCTGGATTGTGATGTTGTAAGTTGCTTCTATTCTCGGATCGTCCCAGCAAGGAAATATTGTTCGTATCGCGTTTGGTGTGTAGAGATTCGTCAGCATCCAACTATCATATTGCAACAAAGTGTTAGATAAAGACAAATGTTTTATTGTTTTTAAACTGGACTAGTTAGCGCAATACTAATGTTGATGTGATGTTTCATATTAAATAAATGTTTTTGTCATTTTTATGCATTAAATTTTTCATTTGAAGTTTTCAGCTTCTAGTATTATGCCAAATAATTTGTAGTACTATCAACAATAATTCTGAACTTTAGATATATGACATCCATTTATTAATATCATAGTAATTTTTCATTATATACGTAGCATTTAACAATTTGCTATTCTGTCGTGTACAAATAAATCGGTCAGGTAAAATAATCGGAAAAATTTATGTACACGAAAGTTTAATATGTAGTTTGATATATTATCATCAGACACCTCGTATGTATAAATTTGTAATTCAAAATATCTTATCCTTTACTTACTTTTGATTTTTACTAGTCCAAGTAGTTGGATAAAAGATTTTCTCGACATTTTTATTTAAAATGGATCTGTAAGCTAATTGAAATTTATATTTTCCTTTATCAAGCGTTTTGTTTAACTGCAGAATTAAGATTTCTTCTCTCTCACAAAATTGGAAGCCGGACAGAGATATCCTATCCCATTTATCCTTTGACAATTAATCAAGCGTCGTAATTTTTGCATAGAACATGAGAAAAATGCTGCGGTTAATATCAATAAAAGGGATTTCGCCATAATGATATTGACATTAATATATAAAATTTTTGACATATTGCTTTGGAGGGTAATATTTATATCATACGTAAGTCAAAGTCATCGAGGCGAAGTACACTTTTATTTACCTCTATTTCGTAATCGTATGTCGATTTTGCATGTAAGATTATATTCCTTATCGGTTTCGTGACATTAATTAAAATATTCATGTAGCCTGACAAAACTCTTTGACGTGGTTTTATTCTGATATGAATATCATATTTTATTGGCATTACTTCAGAGATGTTTAAATTTCCAGAAATGCTCGAACACATGCTTATTATATTCCTGGCATATATTACACCAGCTATTGGGACGATAAATTTCAGGACGACTCCAAGAAATAATATCAACCTCATTTTTATCCCTTTGTGTCCGCAAAAAAATATTTATCCTTTATGTGAATAAAATAATACATACACATAAAGTACATGTGACAACAACGTTCCCTAATATTGTGTCTTTGATGAGAAAGATGCAAGAAAAAAGAGAAGCGTTTGGAGCATCATAATATTAGACGATGTTAAAGGGAGAAATAATATATATAAATATACATATATAAATATATATACATGTATTATATATTTTTAATATAACTATATATATAAATTATATAAAAAATCCATATAATTATATATAATAAATATTCCTAATAAATGTATTCCCTAATATGCTCGCTCTCAACTGTGGGATAATTAAAGAATATACATATGTTTGTTGACATTTATATATAGAAAGATTTAATAATACTAATATAATTGTATTTTTAACAAGTAAGTTGATAATACTCTCGAGTGCTGGATAAAACATTCGTTATATTTGTCCCTTGAAAATATACTAATAATATTGTTATTTACCGTGTAACTTATTGTTTCAAAATGCATACAGCTTTTCTTGCAAGGTGATTAATTGCATACGCCAAATTCGCACTAATAAATATTTTTCCAAAATAAGTAATGTCTTAGAAAGAATAATTTGAGGATGTCGTAATTTTTTCACTCTCAACGGATCTTTTCAAACTAACGACGGAACGGTATCTGACATATTTATATGTAAAAACTAAAGTGAAGGAACTAAACTATATCGTTACATATAAGAAATCAGTAAACGCATGCGCGCACGTGATCTACAAAAGTAATACATTCAAAACAACTATTCGATAAATTATTCGTCTCGGAAAATTTGTACTTTTAACATTAAATATTTTTTTATTCACGTGAATTATTCAAGTAATGTATGTAAAGAAAAACTTAAATAAAAATGCAACTAATTAATGCAATTTACAATATACATATATATTGACGGCAACAATTGCAACAATTTTTTAAAATCTTCTAGTGATTATAACATTTGTCAAGCTTTAATGTTTACTTTCTCGTGTTCTCTCTTTTTCCATTTTATTTACTTCAAATATTATTTTTTGTTGAATATATTATGAGACACCTTAAATATATAGTCACGTTAATTAGATTATTTACTTCAAATATTATTTTTTGTTGAATATATTATGAGACATCTTAAATATATAGTCACGTTAATTAGATTATCAGCCAAGTTTTGTACATATTTGAAAATATTTAGATATATTTTAAGGTTGTAAAATATTTGTACAGAGTATATAAAATATTTGTAAAATTATGTAAACAATATGATTAATAGTGTAACAGTAACAATAACAAAAAACAACTATAATATATAGCTCTAAAGTAACAAAAAGTATATTGATACTAATCATTTTCTTTCTGACGTTCTTGCTTACTTCGTAATATATACCCTTATTTCTTCCTTTTATAAGTTTTCTTCTACACGTCCAATAAAGAATAACTCGTATTTACAGCGTGTTGGACGAGTATGCCTACTCATGTGCAGGTGGAATTCGTCAAACCGAACGAAAAACATTTGTTATAAAAAGGAAGATTGCATAATTCTAGTTTAAAAATTACTCGACATTTAGAAGATATGTCTTTCATAATAATTGCTATTTTTATGACGGTTATTCTACACTGAGAGAAAAATGTATGATATTTGGAACCATAATGGCATAATAAAAAGATTATAGTTAGGAATATCTTTTTTATAGTAAATGTCACTATAATGTTTGTAATATTTACAATATAAGCATAGTATAACTGACTCATATAAAACTTTTACTAAGAATTATAATTATTTGAAATAAAAGTAAGGTAGTAAATATTAGTATAGAAACATAGTAAGGTAGCAAATATTAAATGGTAAGAGAAATTAACTATTTTATATAGTCAATATAATTGGAATATTTGAAAAATAGGGGTACATATAATTATATTCCTAAAGCGTGCTTTACTATACACATAGAATAATAAGATGGTGATTATAAATGTATGTTCATTCTGCTATATCTTTGTGTTTAGATGAACTATAAATATATGTTTGAGGCCAAAATAAACTATAAAATATAGTGAGATTATAGTTATTCCAATTATTTTTTTCTCTCAGTGTAAGATAAACGTTGACGGTAACTTGCCTTACGGACGAGGCCCTGACCCTGACGCATTTTATTGATTAAAATACTTAATAATTTTTACAATGTTTTAACCAATTGTTACTGTATTAAAGAATAAACTAAAAATTAAACTAATTAAAACAATAGTATTAACAAAAGTTACTGATATCTGTATAGAAATAGTACATGTTTGTGGGTTTCATCCATATATGTAATGTTTCTAAAACATCATCAGTTAAAACATTTTAAAAGTTACTCAAGGTCACACGACTTCCACAAGATGTGTTATATAAGATTAAAATTTTTTCCAAAATTCACCAAAAAATTTTAAACGCATTTTGCTCCCTTTCTGTTTGCTCTTTTCGTAGACGAACCAATTTCGATGTGTTATACATAACGCTATAACGGTCAATTTTGTTTACTACTTTATATACCTGGAACAGGAAATTAGATATTCATTAATAATAAATAATAGCATTTCAGCTTTTGTATGATAATGATACATTATATATAAACTTTTGTTTAAGAATTATACAACAATTTAGCATATACAACGTATAAGAACGTGTGAGAACGTATAAAGTGGCTGAATAAAATCATTTAAAACAAGTATAAATGACTAAAAAATTTGACATTAAAATTTACCTTTATAATATGTTCCTTGGAATACACACTCATAATAATAGTATACAATAGATCATTACCGGGAAAATCAAGAGGTAACCTGGTAAAATTGCAAAGCATTTAATTTAGCACTAACGAACACATTTCCATTTGAAGGTGATAAATGGTATTTTTCACGGAAAGCAATACCTTTTTTTTATCCAATTATGATTTTCTAAGAAATAATCAAGCACAAAGTCCTTGCTTGCTTGTCTCTTTATAATATAACGATACGCTTCTCCTTTCATCAGTGATTCAGTTTTCGGATCCTCCATCAAATCCAAGTATTTCATGATAACGTCTTCTCTTTCATTACAAGCTAAATACTTGAAGAGCTTTTGATCGTAACGTATTGCTTCATGGAAAAGAGGCATCCAAACGTCTTTTTCTAGCATCCGTGTTCCCGAACAAAGTACCCAATCTTTCCACATCGCCGGGATTTGATCGCTTATGTGAAAAAACAAACGCTTATAACGTAAAGCTAGCTATTGATATTGTTTTTATATTATTCATTTTCAAATATGATGTAGGATACTAGACTAGTGTGAGATACAAGACAAATATGTTAAAATAATGATTATTAAAATAATTACAATCTTGATTCTGGGTAGTCGATATAGTGAAATAATTCCTTGAGAGCGGCGTTGAAACACCCTAAAAGTTTTATCTTACAGGCCCATTTTATTGCTAATGTTCTTAACGATATCATCATAGCGTCATCCTCTGGGCGGTTTTCATATCTCAAGTTTCCCAAAAGACCACTCAAAATATGTATAAAGTGTGACTGAAAGTTGTTATATATAATTAATTTTGCATGATTATCTTGTCATTTACGAAGACATTATTCCGGTAAACGCGTCAAGTGAGAATAACATTACATCGATAATGTAATTTTCCACTCAACAACGTAATTATAATTCAACAATATAGCTCATATTCTACATAACAATTACATTGTTGAATGAGAAATTTTAACATTGTAGTAACGTAATGTTACTGTTATTTGATGTTTGCTGAATATTTCTATGTGGATAGACACGCGAAAGATAAAACGTCCTTAAATTTGCAAAAATTATGCAATAACCTCTCAAGATTTCTCGATTGGGTAACCGAATGTGCATAAAATTACAGCTGATACTCTATATTAGTGAAATTCATTTTTACTCACTTTTATACGTCCACTTTGTACATGATCGAAGAATTTTGACATACGAGCGAAAATGTTAAACATCGGATACCACACTATGTAATCCGTCTCATGTCTTAGAAACAGAGTAATATTCAAAAAGACAGAGACATCCATTTCGCCTTTGGTCGTAAAATAATACGCATCATTAATTATTTGGGCGCGATTGATAACAGGTATATTTTTATATTTACTACGATCATTTAAATATGCGTAAATTCCTTGCCAATTTCTTCTGTCGTAACCAACACGGTAAAATCCTGTTGTACAAGGAAATAAGTTTATTAGATTGTAAGATATTATAGATTCTATCTAACAAAAATCGCTATTGAACAATTATTTTTCTTTTTCCCAAAAGAATGCAGACTAACATTAAAAACTGTTTTGAACAAGGACGACTGGATAATTTATGAAATTTATTTCAAACTGAGAAAACAAAATGTTTGTTGTGCAGAATTTTTGTAACAATAATCGCAAAATAATCATTATTATAAACATTTTTTTTTATTAAGTTTTATATACTTATATTACATTATAGTATTGGTGATAATAACTTTATATAACAACTATTATAATACAACTATTGCTTTTTTATTAGAACAACAAGAACATATAGTTGGCAAAGAAAATAAATATAATTTAGTGAGATTAACAATTTGTTTTTACATTTTATATATTATATCTCATAATTTCTAACAGTCATTTATATATTGTACTATATATGCGTCATGTATATATATCAAATTAAAATTTCAATTAGGTCACATACAAGTAGGTCACATCAAATGCTAATGCAAGTATAATGATAATAGACCAAAATGTGTTGTATAATATTCGTTGAAATGTCGTTAGTTTTATATAATTAATTCACACGTTCAATTTATATTTTTGAGGGAATCCAGAAACACACGAGATTATACATGCGAAATTATACAAACGTCAGTACCTATTTCAAAATAAACATAATAAGTTTATTAAGATGTACTTACCTATTTGATCTATATTGACTATAAAAAAGTCTTCTGGTTTAATGCTCTTCAAGGTTTTTTCAAAAAATTCTAACCAAATAATTTTCGAGGTATTTAATGATCTATCTATATGGTTTTTCAGCACAATAAAAGTTATAGGTATCTTCCATCCTGGATCCTTGGCAGAGGTTGTTGAATAGTAATCGTACACGCTTCGACCAGGTTTACGTTCAAAGTACATGTTAGGATGATATCTTGTCAATAGCCATGAATTCATTATTTCTTGTATTGTATATATGTATTTTTCACGTTTAGCATAGATGTCTTGTAAGAAGTTCCATAAATTTTCCTTGCCATTAGGATAAAGCGTACTGACAAAGTAATAATAACAATGATTTTAATGTCGTTAGCAACCTGCTACTCTTGTAACAGGTTTAATACAAGAAAATATTAAACTTATTATAATATTACATCATGTGACTATCTGTCTCTTTACATAATATAACATATATGCTTGAAATTTAGAAGCAGTGTCGGCAATGTGATCGCAAGTGGTTATGTAACTGATTTGAACTATAATTTGAGAAACAAATCTTTTCCAACGTGCTTCACGCATAATTCACGAGAGTAATAACATGCATGAAATTCTCGAAAAACAATAGAACAACTGAGCGGGTAATTAACTTTGAAGTAAAATAAAATATAAGATTACAAGGTCATAATTGCAATGCATTACTCACCATACTTGCATATACTTGGCGATGGCCTCTTGAAATTTCGGTGGAGTCATAATGTGCAGTAACATGCGAATGAGGGTGAAAGCTACAATGATTCATACAACAATGTATATAGGACAAAATTAACTTAAGAGTTCTTAATTTATTCAAATAACACTATCTATTAAGTCTCACCTTTCTTGCGATACAGGAGAGAGTGATGTAGTGCGTTAATTCCATCGGTGTTCTTAACTATATTCGTCAAAGGCATTTTATCTAAGAGAAAGTCACTATCTAAAGCAGCCTGTATATTTTCGACTGCAAGCAGATCCATATATTTATGATCTGCAGTTATCTAAAATGAACAATTTATTGCTATCATAATTGAATATAAGATCTAAAGAGGCGTTTGAATTAACAAAACGTATAAGTTATACATTAACGAACAGTGTTCACAACGGATTAAGTATTTTTACAAAATTAACAATATGCTTTAACTGCAAAAACGAATAGCATTTATAATTTACTAATTTTGATAATATAAAATAACCTGAGGAACGACATAGTAGCCGTAAAAGGCTGCAAGTAAATCGTTATTTTTTAGCACCATATCATTGTCCAGACACGAGCTAAAGAACCATTGACGTGCCATTTCGTATGCTACCAACCTCAAAATGTCAATTTTTTTGCCAGGTAAATCTGTATTATTATCGTATCGAACATCCTTCTCTCTATAAGTTAGAAAAAAGTGTATAGCAAATATTTAATACTTTTTCTTAAGATAATCGTTCTGTATAACGTTCAAAAGATTTTAGACATTAGACATAGTTTATTAAAAAAATTGTTAATAATCGAACTGAATATGGAATAGAATGTAAAATTATATTCAATTGATGCTTACTGTCTCAGATTTTTGTGATTAAACGTTAAATACATGTGATATAAGGTGTAAAACATAAATTACTTAACATTCAAAAAATTATGTATAAAATAAATTAAGCTGAATAGAATATAAAATTATATTTTATTTAGTTTGATTAACTTTATAAATAATTTGTTTAAACGTTAAGTAATTTATGATTCATATCATATATATTTAACGTTTAGTCACAAAAATCCCTGAGGCAATATGCATCTACTATATTTGTAAAATATCAGAAGTAAACTTAGTTTTGTCTATTAAAAAGTGTGCATACCGTTTTTTGATTGAGCCAACTTGACACAAATATTGTTATCGCATAAATTGACAATATATGCGAATTATCAAATTTTAGAGTGTTAATGACTTTTTTTGGTGTTATAACAATTTATGTTATAACTTTTTTAGTAAATTATATAATAATATTTTAAACATATGTATTTTTCTTGTATACCTGTAAATAATGAGTCCGTGTCTTCCTGTGGACTTCATCAGACTATTTGAAATTACAACATGATCGATTTTCTTTATGATCTCATGCGCTTGTAATTCTAAATGACGAGAAAAATATGACATAACTGATGTTATCGCGTTGTGCAAGTATTCTAATGTTTCCTCTGAGCCCGGATGATGCCATATATTGTTTATCTCGTCAGACAAAGGATGCGTTGTGATATTATCGAATATCCCAATGGTCAAGTGAGAAATCGGTTTCACTTGGGTTTCCCAAAAGTTTGCACATGTCATATTCATAAGTGCACCTGGTTTCGATTCGGACCATGCGGGCATATTCGAGAAAGCTCTGTGTTCTAATGGGTAACAGATTTTGATGCGGAAAGATGTTTTTACTGCCGGATTGTCCCAGCACGGAAACAGTCCTCGTATCGAGTCTGATTTATATAAGTTGGTAAACAGCCACCTGTTGCATTTTCATAAGATAAACATAATATCCTTTGGTAAAAATAAATTTTCAACCATATATAATCCAAATATAAAACATTTTGTAAGGATGGGATAAAATAGTGTTTCATGTAAAAGTTTGATTTATGTCACACTTTAGACATATACTTTATATAAAAATTTTAGTAGATTATGTCCTAATATAAAAAATTGCCACAATATTCTTATATCTTCTAAGAACTTCTTATGTCTGAAATATATAAACATTTTTTAGGAAATATTTTATATTTTTCTAGATTTCGTAAATTTATTTCAAAAATTATAAAATAAAAGTGTCCAGGAAATATGAAATCTACACGTATCAATGATTTCGAAAAGTTACACGAATTTCATGAAGTTAATTTAAATGTTTGCACATATTTAGTCGTGATAAAAATATAATCTGTTCCATATTATTAATTAAGTATGCTAAAATTTTTAATTTTTTAAATTTGTCATACTTATTTTCGATACGATCTCAAGTTTTATTTGCATTAAAAGTATGAAATATTGAATAATTTATCTGAATATCAAAACTGGAATGTTCATTTAAATAATGTTATAGATTTTATCGTATCTTGCTTCATTCAGTTAAAATTTATTTTTACGTATGATATTCCTTATATATATTATACATTGTAATATCAATATAAGAACTTTTCATTGAAATTCGCATAAGAAAACATTGCAATACTTTTATCTGCGATGCTTAATAACGTGATAACAATTCTGAGGTGAAGTCAACATCATCTATTATAAGAAAGCATATTCCTCACGCCTTAGAAGTATATAAAGAGATATTGAGGCAAAATATTAACATCATCTATCAGACGTGCAGAAAAGCATTCTACTATAAAAATTCGAGGAACACAGATGAAACACTGAGACGTGAATTTTTTTAAATTTCTTGTCAAAACACTTATGAAAAACATTAGATTTTGTATAAAGCAAAAATTTTTTTTAAGAAATCCCAAAATTTGTTTAATATAAGATTCTATAAAATAAGATTCTATAAAATAAGATTCTATAAAATAAGATTCTATAAAATAAGATTTTATAAAAAATGTTAACAATTTTTATAAAAAATGTTAACAATTTTTTTTTGTAAAGTAATATCGAAAATTTTTACAAATAGACATTAATAAATAGCATATAATAATATCTGCAAACAAATTAACAGTGCGGTCATAATATTTCATTATTAACTTACTTCTTCTCTTCAAACTTCATAAATGGTCGATGGATCTCGCCTAGTTTTTGATGTAATAAAGACATGTATTCTATATGTAACAAATATTTCCCTGGGTTTAAAATTTTTCCAAAAATCATAATGAAAATATCATGTTCAGGACAATATTGCATATCATATAGTTTTTCAGTTGTATTCTCTTGATATTTGTGCTGTATCGGCTTAATCCATGTGTGCTTCAAGCTTACTTCCAATTTGCGTAAATGTAGAGTTATTTTCATCGTTGCTTTCTTGATGTACATTTTAATATCGATTGAGCCCTTTTGAATTTGGAATTTCGTATTTATTTCGAGATTCATGTTATAATCCGTTGGCTCTTCTTCAGTGAGCGGTAAATAATCAGAATTCGGGCATTTCCTAATATTTTCATCAGCCGTCACAACGATAAGCATTAGAATTATGTTGAAAAATAGTTTTAGAGACGCCATTCCCATTTTTGCCACAATATCTATAAGAAAAAATTTTTCGTTAGCTGAGAAAATTGTTAAATACACATAAAATATTCATGATGACATACTATTTAATTTTGATTTTATTATATTATAAAGGAAGAAGAAGAAAAAAGAATGTGACGACATAGTGATAGACAATACCGTCACTAACAGCGCTAATACATGTGTAATAATAGGTGAACATTAGAAGAATTTCATGAGAAATAATATTAAATAAACCATATATTGCTTGTAATTACGTCTCTTCTTGACAAACATAAGTTTAATTTTCAATCGTTATTATGCGTAGAAGACATTTCATTTATTGATAACATACAGGATATTTCACCAGAGAGAGAACATTTAAATACACACCTCGAGTATGCATTACAAAATTAAAAACAAAATTTACATTGAAGGATGAACATACAAAAATACACGTTTGAATATCTTATTTAGAGAGAAGAAAGAAAAAAAGTGTTAGTATTATTAGTATTATAGTATTATTGTTATTAAATACATGAAAATGTTCATAATTTGCTTAAGACAAATTATATTAGATTTAAGACGTAGAAATTAAGGTGCATATTAATAGTCATTACTTAAGAAATTTATTCCATGTGAGATTCTCAGATATGAAATTTAGAGTTAGATTTGAGTTTCTTATTTGAATCATATAATATACATGCGACATTACATATATAATCACGATTCAACTGCAAAATTCACATTTAACTCTACATTCAGATCTAAGTATTTCATATAAAGCAGGTTTCAAATAACAATTATTAATATAAACTTAAGAAAAACTTCTATTACTATAACCACATATATATAATACAAATATATATTATATTATATATATATATATATATATATATATATATATATATATATATACACATATACATATAATACTTTTGTTAGTTATTGGAATAATTTTTTACGAAAAATAAACCGAAATGAACTTAGGCTATATGTTAGCTTATGATTGCGTATACCTTTATATATAATTTCAAATATAAACTATTGTCACGCAGAAACCGTTGAAAAAGATATTTACATACAAGGTCACTCACAAGATACTTATGTACACTACCTCAAGTGTACAGAACAAAGTGTAAGACGAAATTTATGTCGCGAAGAACGACGATAGTAAAACCCACGATTATATATTGTATTTAATTTCACATACCATATATAAAGAATATGAATATATATATATATATATATATATATATATATATATATATATATATA